TGTCCCAGCATGCCCCAGCATGTCCCAAAATGCCCCGCATGCATTTGTAAATAGATGGACCACAACAGGCACCCAACGAGCACCGAACCCAAACACACAAATGCCAAACTGCAAGATGCACACACGGTGGAAGATTTACACATGCTAAATACACGCGAGGATTGTACTGGGTACACACAAGACACGGGCAAACACACCCGCAACAATTGGGAAACGCAACCATTGACATTAACAAGAACAACAATACCCATCTTGGGTATTAATAAGGGTTAAGGACTGTTAATAAAGAGCGTGATTTCCCCGGCAAGCAAGTCTTCATGCCTCTCTCTGCTCCCGCGATGCCTCGGTCCGCCCATCGCCACACTATATTGTGTTTTTCTTTAAAGTTTTCACTATAAAAAACAGAAAATTAATTAACAAAAAATATTATTCGGTAGGCTTGTGAACAGATTAATCAAATTTCAATGCTTTCTTATGGGAAAAATTGCCTTGGTTCACGTACAAATTGGTTCACTTTCCTGAAACGGATTGTGTTTGTGAACCACAAGCACCACTGTATAAAGAACTTATTTATTTACTTACTTGTTTATCCTTATTTATTAATTTTTTGTTTGTTTGTTTGCTTGCTTGTCCACCACCCCACCCCCATATTCTGAAATCTAAATGTTGGCAGGTATGCCAAGAACACCACAGGAAAGATAACAACTCACTACAAACTGAATTTTAATCAAGGGTATGAGGTTGCTAAAAAAGACATTCCTTTTTCACAAGTATCCATCTTTGCAGAGGAAAAAAAAGACAGTAAAGATAGCAAACCAGAGATGCATATGGATGAAAATGTTCCGCTACTTGTCATCGGAGTCGGAGAACAATATAAAAAAAATTTTAATGTGCAATAAAGGCAGTATCCTTCGACAGATACCAATGTCGGAGCTGAACAAACCAGTGTTTTCCCTCATAAATGCACTGAAAGTGTGCAGGCTAAAATGACGGCAAATGGCATTCACTCGTACCACAGAGATCTTAGCTTCCCCTGAGCTCTCCTGTTTTGCAGCATCATTTCGCATAACTGCTAAAAACCTAAATGCAACAATGTCCGGCAGAGTTCGGCAAACGGGCATGTTGAATGCAGACTTACTCTTGCTCTTATTGCTGTTATGCGATACGCAGACTGAACTGGGAAAAATGCAGCCCGATAAGGTCTTTATTTCACACCGACATATTTTGTATAATGGGACGTATCAGGAAATGAAATGAAGTATTACAGCATGCTGAACAGGCTAAATGTGAAACTCAAGTTTTGATTAGCTCGAGCTGGTCATTGATTCAAACTTGCCGAAACACAGATAAAACTACTTGAGAAATTTCACATCAGACAGACATGTAGTAGAACACCAGCCATGTAAATTCAGAATCCTTCCAGCTCTCTCCCTGCAAAAGATAACGTGGTTTAAGTGAACTCTCCCTAGCCTCTTGTCCCAATTCCCTTTGATCTCCCCCACTAAACGAGAACACAGGGAGACCTCGCTCTCCTCCTGTTTTGGCAGCTGGTTTTGGTTTTGGTGTTTGACTCTACCTGGCCTCCCCACCCTGGTAAAAAAAAACCTAAAACAAAATTTCCATGGTTTCGGCATCCAAAGCTGGACCCAAAGCTCAGCGCTTCTTGGTTGGCTGAGATACCCAGAGTCCCAAAACAGCAGCAGTGTGTAAAACCAATCCGATGCCAAGAGAAAATGGGGAAGACAAGCACACCAAGGCCAAGAGGTCTGAGCTTTCCTCTGCGCTGGTGGTCAGCATCAGCCACTGACACAAGCCGCACTGCTGAGATTCTTACAGAAGATGGCTGTCGCTCTGGGAAATGTGACAGTCTGCGGCCCAGGTGAACCTAAGAATGAGACCCACCTTTTGTTTGTACTGCTATGTGAATTGCTCAGCAGTGCAACACAACAGCACAGCAGCTAAAACAAACATAACAGAAATCGCCTCCACAAAACAAGAGGCAATAAAATACAGACACAGCCCATCAGTGAATACAGCACCTACTGTTGTTTCTGAATGGGCAGCGCAAACTTCTTATATGCCTGCGTAAGGTACTGATTATCGGCATCAAGTGATTTCGGATCCACCAACACGTCTACGGTGTCTCCGGGGCTCCGCAGATCGGCTAAATTACCTCTCTGGCTCCTCCATGTCAAATAAACATTAACTGGGAACCATGATTAGCTTTTCATACCATCACATACCATATCTAGTACATATATATATATATAAAATTATTATTATTATTTAAACAAAGGATATAATCAGCTAACTGCCAGAATTCCTTCAGCCAACAGTTTAAGGCTAATTACAAAGAAATGGTTTTCCTCGGAGACAGCCAGATGACAGGTTAAATATCTCTCTTTCATTTAGTAAGTCAACAGGATTTAACGGAAAAAAATCAGAACACGAGAAAATAAATCAATTAATCTAAAGAGTGCTAACAAAGATAAGAGTAATATTGTACGAGCATGTTTTTCTGGGGCATGGATTCATAAACTTTTCAGCTCACAATCCTCAGAACGGGGGGTTGGGGGTTAGATTTATTGGCTGGTTCCAGTTACAGATAACATGAATATAAATTTTTTTCATGTTATTGAATTTTTATAACCACTCTGGGAGTCATCTTGTGACGCCTGCCCCCCTCCCCCGTTCTAGGGTATTCACGAGTGCAGATCAGTTGCTTAACATTTTGGGACAAATGACAGCAAATTATGAGCAGGGACTGCACTTCAGATAAGGAAGAATTTAGCAGGCCACAGACGGCTTCCTCACCGCCGCAGAACAGCTTACTCATAAAATATGGAAAAACGGCAAGCGTGTTTGGGTTGCCTTGATCAGAAGAGAGACAGTCCTGCTGAGTTCTGTAGCGCTAATTTGTCATTTTTCAAGGGGCATTAATCATTGTAAGGGGGAAGCATGGAGGGGGGGGTAAATGATATTTCAGAAATCAGCTAACGGCTGAACCAGCTCTGCAATTAACAACACATCTCCGACTTAATGAGAAATCAAGGATCTGCAGATGGACAGGCAGGGCTGGGGGGGTGGGAAGGGACAGTTCATTTTGGGAACCTGCAGGGAGTCCCAAGGTCCAGGAATATATTTTCATTTTTGTTTTCACATTTTGTTCTTCTACTGCTCTTCATCAGAAGGTAAATGCAATAAGTACACACTACATAGGATAAAGAAAACATTTGGATTTCAGTAACTTTACAGAAGCCATGTATATTGCAATCAAGAATACTGTAAATCATTTTGATCAAGTGAAATTCTGTCAGGAAATCAATGGACGAATTACCCAATCATTTAATTTTGAAAGCACTCAAGTACTGCCCAGACATTAGGTTGAGGATGTGGCCCGGTTAGCTAGTGTGGGTCAGTCGTGACAGCCCAGGCTTTAAGGTCCCTAATTAGGCTTTTAGTGACAAGTGTCTGACACTAAACATAGACCACATTTACCAAATCAAAGATGAAAAATGACAGGCAGGGTCACTGAGAAGTCGGGAGAAAAGCCTCCAATTAAATTTCCCACCCGCCTATTAAAAATAATGCTCAAAGCTCCCAGAATTACTTCGAAAAGGGCATCTCAGGTGCCCCCCCCCTCATTGCTACTTCATACGGGCTCAGCGTTTTGTCCACTGTTTACCTGAGAACAGTGGCAATGCAGCCAAACTGCAATCCAACAGCAGACTCTACAGCATGAGCCGTCATACAGAAATTGCACATTTTTACTTTCATCAGTTTTATTATTGCTTGCAAAACATTTTGATGTGCCAAGATCCATCTGAGACTGTCAGCTTTTTACTTTTTAGTTTATAGATTTGAGGTCCTGAAGTGACAACAATAATGCATTTAGACTTTTTTACAAAAACTACTACTACTAAATCTGATAAAAATGCAGTTTCCTCCTATGACCCAAAAGTCAGTTCAGGCCGATTAGGCATTCTATGTGGGGCCTTTAGGGTGTGTATGGTGGGCCTTCAAGCTCACACACTCTATACGGTCCCTGTCTAACACCCCATTTACCAGGTTCCTGACTGATACTGAATAAGCAGTATTTGGTCTGTTTGACACAGTGATAACCTAACTACCAATGGATGATCACACAGACATCTTACACCACAAACGTCATCAAGCTGCAATGAAAACAAAACCATGCAAATAGAACCTACAGGCCACTGGTTCATATAAACCACCATTACAAGAGAGGCTTGTACCTGCGAGCTCCTTTTACAATAACACGATGTTACATAATATTTGCGAGTTTTAAAATATTAGCCCTTTTCACGTTGAACACCATCAAATATAACGTATTTGCAGAGAAATAGATACAGTATTTTACATTTTTTTTAACATTGATGTCACTGCAACATTAATTAATAAACATTTAATAAAATAAAATAAACTGCAGGCTTGAGTCAGCCCTCTGTGCCCAGTGTTGGGAAGGGTACCTTTGAAATGTAATAGGCTACTAGATACCCTGTAAAAATGTAATAAGTAATGTAACTATTTTGATTACTTCATCAAAGTAATGTAACATATATTACTTTTTGATTGCTTTTCTAACAAATGCCTTAAACAGAAACAAAGCTGGAAAGTCCCATTTTTCAGGTCCCCACAAAGATCTGTGAATGCATTAAAAAAAAATAAAAGTGCCAAAAGACTTGTATTTTGTTTGCTTACTTATGGTTAAGGTTAGGGCTGGGTAGGGGTTAAGGTCATCATGTTGGGATTATAGTTTTTCCCATAGAAATGAATGGAAAGGCCCCACAAAGATATAATTACAAACCTGTGTGTGTGTGTGTGTGTGTGTGCGTGTGTATACGAGTCAAGATGGGATATGCAAAAACTAAAGAATTCCTCTGAACCTTATACTTGTACAGATGACAAAAAGAACAATTTCATTTAACTGCACTGCACACCTTCGCCATCACACTGAAAACAACTGGAGATTCACTCACCTCTTCCTCGCTGGGCCATCTTCATAATAGTCATTGCTCCCATCAGTACCACGGGACGATGTTCGGGACCCACCCTTTTCGTTTGACACGGCCAGCAAACCTCCTTTTGGCCCTGATCTGCTCAGCTGGCCATTAGCCAAACACCCTGCAAGTTAAAATGAACACTGTAGGAAGGGTTGAAAGCTATAACACGACACAAGCGGCTGAAGTTTCCTGTTGGACCCGATGAAACAAAATTTGGGTTCATTTCTTACCCGAACAAATAGCTAGACAGATGAAACTCCAAACGTGTGAGTGCCAAAAAAAGGGACTCAACCTCCACGAATACCTTGTAAAGAGCAATTCCAAAATCGATCCCACTTTTGGATGCAGTCACTGTCCAAATTTATTAAATTGCACACACTTGCATATAAAGCAACAGCAATGCAGGAAAATAGCCAAGACAATGAAGTATCTAATGGCATTTAAGCAACGGAAATCACACACAAACATGATTAAAAGACAATTACACAAGCAAAATAATTCAGCAGCACCAACAGGCTTTAAGCAACAGCAAGCGACAGCAAGTGACAGCAGAGCATGGACGCTGACAGCATGAAACTCTGGGCTTCCCAAGGACAGTGTCATAAATAAATAAATGACGACACTCAGGTCCAGCTCTATTCAGCCCGATTGATTTGGTTTCTCTACCCAGCCTTCGCTCCATTTCAGTCAGTCTCACACCAGCAGTTCTGTGAGAGAGGCACAATGCATGTCAGTGCAAAAAAATATTATGCTGATTTATCCGCAGCATGTCCTTTGGGTCCGATGGAGAGAGAAAAAAAACTCAGATTTATGCGTGTTTAACTAAGCCGATCGCCATGATCTTGTTCTCCCGCCGCTCTCCGGGGACGCGGCTGGTGACGTGCGAGATGTTGGCTGTAGCCTATTAGCAGGAGCCGAGTAATAACCGATGCTGTCAGCCCGGTGTAATGCGGAACAGGAAAATGAGCCAAAAAAGTGCCATTATTCAGAGCTTAATTAACTTTACTAAATGATATTCCTCGTAATCATGACTGAATAACTACATTCCTAATGGAGCACTGAGGGCACCGTATTAACAAAAACGGCCACTCGTAAGCCTAGAATCGCCTGCATCAACACCTACATTTTTTGACAAACATTGGTGCAAGGACAAAAGAATTGTGGTTCAACAATATAAATCCTGCATCTGTAAACATCACTGTTTGGTAAAGCAAACATGTTTGGCACAGCAGTGCATTCAGGCCATAATTCTGCTTGCTAAAGCTGCCAGACAGGACAAAAAAAAAAAAACACTGTTTAGCAAAAGTCTCAGAGCAATGCATAGACTCTTCACAGTAGAGAAACGACACCTATATTACAGACTATTTAAAAGATAAGCCGAAGTATTAAATTTACGGATGTAGATGAAAGCGAGAGTTTGACTGTCAGCCGACAGCAGAGGCAGCGATATTTATGAAAACGAACACATTATAATCCACTATGTCTGCCCCACTCCGACGGGATCCTTCATTTCCCATATCCCTGATTAGCAGTCAGACACACTTCTGTGTCTTGGTAACGGAAGTTATTCGACCTCATCACCAATCATAAAGACTGAAATAAGCAGAAAAGTTCTTGCACCTGAAAGTACGTATACATTTTATAAACTGGACTACGAAAACAATAAAAAGATGTGCATTTTACATTTTTGAGAATTGCATGGCTAATTTGCACAAAGGGTATATTTGGCATTGTGAAATACTGGAGACCCTTGACGAGATTGGGAATGCTGGCATCCAAAGCCTCTGGCAAGGTGCTACCTGCAAGAGCAATATGCCACATCGTCAGGGCAGTCTTGCTCCCTGTACAGTGGGTAACCATACCACCACCATGCAGCGCCCTATACAGGCTAAACACCAGCTTTTTTAAACCATCCTGCACAATATTCACAGTCATTTGTGTCAAAATGATATAGCCAAACCTAATGCCAGTGCCCAAACTCCTTTAGAAAATCCCTGTGGCCTCTTTTTAAGTTGTTCTATATTTTAGACAGAAAATGTAAAAAAAGAAAAAGCACTACAATACTGTGTATAAACATGTTATTGATGTTTATTCAGTTCTGATTTGTTTACTTCTGTGTGCTTCAGACAAAGTGCTTCCACCTTCCATAATGGAGGACTCAGCATGGTCTGCAGGGCCAGAGGCTGCGTCCCGCTAGTCGTCTGTCCTGAGGCTAACACACTTCTTTGGACTCCCCCCCCCGCCTCTGTATCTGCCTGGAAGATGATGACCCCCTACTGGCCCACAGGTGTCACCCATCGCTTTGCCCCTCTTTCTTTGATAACCAATTGGCAAACACATTGTTAATTTGCCCCTCGTGTGGAAGGACAGCAGCCATTTACCCCCGCAGGGGTAGTTACATAATTTGAAAATGACGCCGTGCAATGAGGAGAAGGAGAGAGGGAGGCCGAGAAAAACAAAGAAAGATGGATTAAGATTCGCTTCAGGATTCACTGAGGAACCCAGGGGTCGGTTTAAAGTGCAGCTTTCTGGCCATGACAGCATGCATTAGCAGGTCATAAACGCATTAGACAGACAGCTGGTAGCGAGGAGGAACAGGAAGAGACATGCTGGCCCAGGATACATAGGGATACTAGCGTCTCAGGAGGGAGACTGAACAACTGAAAATCTGTCCGGTAAAATACACAGCTGTATCGAATGGTAAAATGGTCTAAACAACCGTATCTATAAATAGAAGCTGTAATGAGAACCTGCCCAGTGAGAAACGTGACAATAAGATAACAGGAGTCACTAATTCACCTTTTATATTGAAATTGGACTGAGGTGATGAAAATGCAGAAGTTGGCACTGCAGTTCAGTTTTGAAAGGACTGACCTACCGGAAATCGATCAGTATATAAATAAGAACTTTAGTGCAGCAGCAGACTTGAAATGGCCTATTGTCTTTCATTTAATGGTGCGCGTATGACTTGCAGATTGCAGTAATGTGAGGGGAGCTCATTGTAAAAAGGAGACTGGAAAATTATGCGGTCATCAGTCACACGATGAGGTGGGGGCTGGGGCCGAGGCTGCACGAGAGGATTTTTGGCTCTGCGTCCATGTGCAGCCGTGTTTGGTCTCCTCATCAGCTGGTTAACAAGCTGCAGCACAGCGCAGCACTTGGGGTCTCATTTATCAATTCTGCCGATGAACAGTCTCCGGCGTAAACCATGCGCATGCACATTTTTACGCACGGAATGATATTTATCAATTTCTGATTATGCACAGAAATGTTCGTATATTTATGAATACTCCCGTCAACGTTACATACAAACCCCTAGTGGCAGAGAAGCGTAACTGAAGCAAGCCGATCGGCACATAAGATATGCAGACTCCCACTTAATTATAAAACTTGATAGACACATAGAATGATCTAGTTATGTTCACTCAAAGTATGTGCAGGCAGGTCGTGCTAATGACAAGGAATCGCAAGTCGTGTATGGTCCATGTCCAAAGAAATATACATCACTGTCACTAAATACATGCTTTACAACACAACTGACATGTCTGGCACAACACTTTCGGCAACATTCACTTGTTTGTCTACTGCGGCGTACGACAATTTTACTTGCTACAGCCAATTAAATACAACCACAAAAGTATCTTACCTATTTCTAATAGCCCTGCCTCATCTATGGGTGAGAGAAGTACCTTATCAGTGTCACTATCTGAAGTGATTCCTGTTAGGGACATTTCGCCTATGATGTCAGCTATTTTGCCATCCAGAAGTGACACTGACGTGCTGCTTGTGCCGCCCTGTGTGACAGACGTGGGATCTGTGGGCTGTAATCCTTTTCTTGGCGGTCATTTTCAGATCGAAGCACTTCCTCCTCACCTCTGCCGCATCATTACCTGCATGTGTCACCTCTCCCCGTGCTTGGTCCTTCTCTTTCATTGACTGGCCACTGGAAAATTTGCTACACAAAACCTATTTATTTTTTTTCCCCCATTACATCTAGCAAAACTTCCACCTCATTCTCTGTGAAGTTCCGTTTTATCCCCCCATGCACATTTTATTTTTAAACCTTATTTATTAATAGCAAAATACAGTTGAAGTATACAGTGCGAGATATATTACAAACAGAAATAAGGATATTGGGGTACGTGTCTCTTCACGGTATCCTTTTCTGCAACACGTGCAGCTCGACGTGTTATGCGGAAGTTATATGCTCATATGTGGCTCATTGAGGGCATTTATTTTAATCAGTCCTGCCGTGCACACAGTCACATTTAGACTGCCTGAGATTTATCAACATTCACTTTGTACGGCTGCTCACAAGCACAAGTGATAAATACCACTTTGCCTGTGCATACCAGTGATTCGTATGCACACATTTAGGAATCGTTCTACGCACACTTTGATAAATGAGACCCCTGGTTTTAAAAGACTATTATGTTCCATTATTCTTCTGCTGCAAGACTCTCTTAACCTAGCATGAAGAAATCACTCCCCTTTGAAATCCACCTACACTCTTCTCCCTGACATTTATTCTGAAATGCACTCAGCCTTACAATTCACTTACAGTATGTGGCTTTTCCTTTTGAAGTAGCATCAGCTCCCCTTTCGAGTCGCACCAACACTGTATGAGTGAAAATGTAACAGTACAACACATTCTAAAGGGGGAATTTAGAATTTTCCCCTCTTGCAAAAAGAAACACACAGCAGAAAAAACTGAACTGGACATGTACATAATCCATCCATTATCAGGGTCTTAGGGCTACATGAATAATGTCAGTTCCTTTTGATGTCTTCAACACTAGTCTAGCACCACTACACCACCAATTAAAAATACTATCCATGATTGCTACCCGAAAAGAGATTTTTTGAACTATATAAAAAATAACCATAATATGAAGCTGATTTAAATTCAAAGCACATGAGTAAGTGCGCCCCCAACCACTGCGTGTCACAGCGGATGGAAACGTTTTCAGATGTATTTTTATTCCACTGATAAGGTCAGCATCCTACTGTGACTTATAATGCGTAGAAAACCCAGCCACAGAGGAACGCTGCACTGAAATGCCATTCAGGAAACCTTTCTGCTTCCATCTCTCCGTTAGCCAGATAGACACTAACATAGCCTGCAGCCACAAGTGCCACCATTTGCCTTTGGTCGCCAAATTATTCTTCTGCCAATAGATAATTTATTCCAATTGCCCCAGAGAATGTTTAGCGTTACTGTTGACTGGTTATTCAGCTCGAGCGTCAAACAGGGCCTAATTAGAGCAACTATTTGGTCCTGCTTTCTCCACATCACTCCTAACATCTCAGCTTCTCGCACTGCATTCCACACCATCCCTGACATTTACCCTCAGACATACTCAATGTAACAATCGGCTTACCTGACCTAATCTTAAAAGCTTCTTTTTTTTCCCCTAAAGGGCAGCGTATCGACCGGTAACATAGAACAATAAAACGTTTTACATGGGGTTACCCACGAGGCTACTTGTTTTTACGACACACAAAATATTCGGCATTTATCTGAAGATCGCAGGCGTGTCATAACGGATTCAAATCGAAGCTTTTGTAACTGGACACATTTCTCTGTAATTTATGGAGAGCAAACTCACTGGAATGGTAATGTGAGGCCCAGCTATTCATTATGCATGAGCAGTGCTAAGAAGAGGCATTTTAAGCCTGTTGAGACGTAACTCGCCCAATTCCCGATACTCACCGCTGGTGTTCTTGAGTCCCTCATCTAGGTTTACCCCTAGCTGCTTCCTCTGGGAGCTCTTGAACTCTTTCAGGGAGAGGTATAGTACTTTGCGCACCACTCTCTCTTCTGACCATGGGATCCCATCATTGTCATCCTGTACGGGAAAGAAGATGAAGATTTGTATGGGTGATTTAAAAAAAAAAAACACTTCACACTGACCAAAATAGGGTGCCCATATAATCCATGTTAGGGAGGACACTTTGCGCTAGGACAGGATTTGTAAATTTTCAATCAAAAGGACCCGGATTTTACTTAAGCACTAAGTTCTTACTATGTTAATGTGAAACAGCTGGATGAATCTTTCAATCAAGGAGACAAACCAGTCAAAGCACAAGAAGAACAGAACTACTTAACCAAACACAGAACCCTTTCAGTTTTAAAGTAAATTTGTAAAACCCAAAGTAGCTCAGAGTGTCCTCCCTGACATGGATTATCTGCTCATCCTAGTGTGAAACCACCTCTTCACCCTGCAGCAGTGTCAGGACAAACTGTATGTCTTCAGAAACTAGCACAGCCATGTTATTCTCCATATGCCTTTTTCAAAAAGAATTTGCCTTATTGTGTAAACAAGTATGTCTCCCAGCTGCTCTGGGTTTTAACATTCGACGCATGCAACACCTCAGATATCTACAGAACAATACCAGCATGTCAATTTTGAAAGCCGGTGGAGCTCCTGGGTCTTTCATCCACTCCTACATTGTCAAAGTACCATTAGAAGCAGCCTAGCTTCACTAAGGAACGTTACCGGCACATCACTCCTGAAAGCCAGTGGAGCTCCTGTGCGTCTCATTCATTCCTACATGTCATTTCATTGTATACTGAGCAGTTCTCTGCCTTCAGATTAGTCTACCTGTTGCAATAAGCATTGATTAAAAAAATAAATCCTTCTCCATCATACCTCCACTTTCACATTGAGGGTTCCACAGCCCTGCATGCTCCCGGGATCTTGATTACTTGACTGTCAGCCTTTTTTTTTGTTGCAATATAGCATTTTACCTATTATAAAATACAATTACTGCTTAAAAATCTTCCTGCTTCCTGCATCTGCCACAGAATTAACCAGCCTAAAAAAACTACCATGATTTCCAATTCAAGTAATGGAGAGCCTCAAATCAATCTTTCATTAGAGCGGCTAACATGGCAATCCAGTTAATAACAGACAAGTTGTGATGTTGGCAACGCATTTAACTTTTAATTTAACACCTTTGCAATACTGGCTCCCAGGGATTGACAAATATTTTTTTTTAAATGTTCACAACTTGTCTCACAATTGGGTCACTGTTGACAGCAGGAGGTGCTTCGATTCCTTTCAAAATCCATCCCGGCAAACGTATTCCTTTTGGAACCAAGCGACAAATATACTGTATCTGCACCATGGAACAATGGAAGATCAGAGCAGATCCTTTGTTTCCTCATACGTGATTCCATATGATCGCATACAGAGATTAATCATCACAGAAATCCCTCACATGACTAACTGTTATTTTAGTATGAAAGCATGCGAGACAAAGCTTTGTATTAGATATTAGCAAGAGCCAAACTAACTAAACTCCTATGATATGTCAGCCCAGATGTGAAGGTAAGGGACACACCTGAGAAGTAAAATAATCCAAAACTGGTTCCTCAAAATACTGCTTCCATGGCAAAGACTGAGAACTTTGTCAGCTTCCTGTTGCTTTCACACCATAAATATTTAGCCTTTTAAGACCAGCGGTGCGTTTTTCCCCTGACAGACGGCTTTGGCCTTGGAGAGCCAGCCAAGTTCAGGGTCCCGAAGAGCAATCGGCATTGCCGCTGTTTCCCGACGAGGCCGACAGCTGAGACTGGCAGACAAGCTGCCCTGGCAGAGACATGACAGAGGCACCTCTGCACTCGTCCTTCTCAGCCGGCCGCTCCAAAGCCTGGGGTCACCAGAACATGAGAGGAATCCACTCTCCCTCCTCTGTGTAGTTATTTTTTTATCCTAGCATTGATTTTTCATATAAAAAAGACTTTACATGACCTCTGTTACATTTGCCTGTGATTCCAGCTCTAATGTGTGTAATATAAGTATGAAATGTTTCTGCTAAATCCATGATACCCGCTTTGGGGCATCTAGGTTGTGAATATTGCTGAATGTAATATAAATTGAAATGGAACTGAATGTACTAGACTGCACATCAGCAGAAGAAAGCTCAGTCAGATATTTCTCGTGGCGACTTAGCACCTGTCCACCCACACGTTAACACAGAACATTTTTACCCAGAATTCCATAGATATTTGGATGTTAAATATGGTGCTTTTTCTCTCCAAAGGATCTGGTTGCCAGCAAAAGTTCTTCATCATCACTAGATAGAAACGACTTAGTAGTATTGATCAGCTTAACTTACAATTACAGGTATACCTCCTATAGATTCATCTGTCTTATTATGGCAAGCCAGCAGGCCACCATTACAAAGACAGACCATTCAGCGGCCATTTAACAACAACTACTTTTATTTATCTTTTCCAGAAACACAGTATAAACCTACTGAAAAATTGGGCGTGATAGAAGGATGAATGGAAGGAGTTTCCAAAAATGTGATTTTCATCTGTAAAAAGAAGGATTGAATGTCATTCTATATAAATAAACTAAAATGATTCTTGTTGTCAGAGACGCAACATTTGGAAGCCTTATTCCAAACCTGAGATCCTTCCACCCCCCAAAACAAAATAACTCTCCACTGATTACTTCCTCTGTCAAACCTTGATTTCACTCCACTGGAAGAAACTCGGCAACCCAACGGCAGCCATCTATTTACTGTATGCAGGAGGCCAAGATCTGGAGGGGATCTGTACTTCTGGGAAGTGTCAGGAAATCCACTCGAGAGGCATGGTCTGCAGTGGAGCCCCACAGGACAGTCTACTATAAACAGAGCCACAAGTTCTCCTGATAGCTGCACCGAGAGCAAAGGTGCACATCTACGTCTATATCATCACATTCAACGAGTCAAAACAGGGAGCAATAAAATGCCATTTTAAAGTAGAAGTCAAACAAAAACAAATAAAGGTTCCTGCACGATACAGGGACACAATGGCGTGATTTCCTATTTTTTTATCACAATTGATGAGCCAAATGGGTCAATTTTAACATACTTAAACATAATTACAGAACAGAATGAACTTTTAATGCTCTATAGGTACGCACCTGGATTTCATAGGCTCAAGGAGGGTCAAAACCGTATATTTACAAGTTTGAATGCTGCTCTGATTTCTGCACCGGTGGCTAAGTAACAAAGTCCAACGTTTGCCTCCCCCACGTCACCTCGACTCTCCTGACCCCAAATGATCCTTTGTTTCCTCATCCGTGATTCCATATGATCGCATACAGAGATTAATCATCACAGAAATCCCTCACATGACTAACTGTTATTTTAGTATGAAAGCATGCGAGACAAAGC